TGAAAACAATTGGAAAGACAAGATGCACATGCCATGGTGGGGAAAATATACAATTGCCCAGTCCATCCCCATAAATGCAACATCTTTAACTCTACACTGTGTATTTATTTTAAGCCCTTAGATCACGGGTTTTGTTTCTTTCAGTTTGTGTAGCACCAAATAGACACAGTGGTTGACAATAAATAATTCCGAGAAGACATTGAAATATTTATCATGTCAGAAATTTTCTGGATCTGTACTTTTATCCAAGTCCCTGGCTTGAAGTAATCTATTCTTCATGAGAGTAAGTTTTATAACATGATGGAGTTCTAACCCAGTTTATGTCACTGATATGATCTGAACAATGAGTAATGCTGTTCTGTAATCTTTTGTATGATACTTCACATGTTCAAATACTTTTATATACAACGACACATTAAATGACTCATTTCATGTACTGATGTCCCCTCACCCCATAGGTGATGACCATGCACATGAGCTCTGTTGTCAGATTGCCATGGGTTCAAATCCCACTTTCTACTTGCTAGCTGTGTGACCTTGGACAAATCATATCATCTGTGCTTTGATTTTCTTGCCTATAAAACAGAAGCTACTCTATAGGGCTACTGAAAGGGTTCAACAGGATTGCTCATGGGAGTTTTGAGCACAGTAGCTACAGCATAGCGAGAGATGAAGAAATGCTATGAATAAATCATTGCATACCTAACTCAAACAGGTTATAATGGTGGTTCACGAGCACACTTTTTGAAGGGTATGTTTAGAAACAAGTTCACATGGTCCTTTGCAAGGAGAATTTCATGGTTTCCATGGGATTAGTGAATTTATTTCTTCTAGCATGTGGGAAGGAGATCCAGGGTCTGGCCAACTCTAGTAACAAAAGGAATACATATTGAGACTTTTTTTTTCTGTAAGTTGCACAATGTTATTGTGTCTGTCTTGTTTCTCATTGTGTGTCTAGAACATGCATTAGGTACACAATGAGTATTTGCTAAATGCATAAACTCAAAGAAATTTGAGTAGGCATGAGATTTTCAGCTCCACTGCATTTGGGAATCAAATATAAAGAAGTAACTTTTTGAATGAGGAGAAGGTTTAGCAATGGTATTGTCAATGGCCCTAAAGCTTGAAGAGGATAGTAATAAGGCTAGATGATGTGACTTTTTGTTGTTGTTGTTGTGGTTGTGGGGCTTGAACCTTGGGCTGTCTCTCAGCTCTTCAACTCAAAGTGAGTGCTCTACCACTTGAGCCACAGTGCCACTTGGAGTTTTCTGAGTGGTTTATTGGAGATAAGAGTCTCACCGACTTTCCTTGCCTGGGCTGGCTTTGAACCTCGATTCTCAGATCTCAGCCTCCTGAGTAGCTAGGATTACAGGCCTGAGCCACCGGCACCTGGCAACATTTTACTCTTTTACCAAATTTAGAAATAGAGTTCTATATTTGGACAACCCATGCCAAATAGTTCCAGGAGCTCTCATTATGAACTAGAAATGCTGGATTTTATAAACAGTAATCCCAAACCTGTTCCTTGCCCTTAAATGCTTGAAACCTTTGAAGCAATTTGATTACAGATTCATATACGTGGCAGTCAATTCTGCTTCTAATTATGGCACTTAGAAATGGTAATGCCAACCAACGTGATATGTGCAAGTGAAATTAGCAAGGGATGGTCCATTTGTCTTTTCAGCTTTTCAACAATTCATTCAACTCAACAAATATTCACCAAGTGCTTGTATGGAGCCAGAGACAATGAACAAGGCTGTAGCCGTGGGCCTTGTTTAGTGGAGTTTGCAATCCTGGGGGGACGAGATGGCTAGGACTGTCTCGTGCTTTGTAAGGTCTTCCTCTCTATGGGTGTCCCTGAAACTTCTGGGTACTGATCTGTCTCCTTTCAGATGTCTGGTTTTATTTACAGCACACTAAAAGACGAAAAATTCAGGCATTATGTACACATCCACAAATATCTAAACTTGTTTTAAAGTAATGTAGACAAAATATTTCACATCTTCGGAGTCCTCAATGCACAGCTGTGTAAAATGAAATAAGTTCAGTTTGGTGTCGCCGTTGAAAATTGCATTTGTAAATTGGAGTAATCAAAATCTCTAGCCAGATTCTTCAGAGTCTCAAGTCCTTAAAAAGCCTCTGGATGCTAGCTAGATTTTGCATTTAGATCTTTGCATTGTCTTAAAAGATAGCGGTAGTTCACGTAACTAGAGAATTCCCCATTGATTACATGATTGAGGAGGCGCAATGTCTGTTATTCTTTCCAAAGTCAATTGTAATTTCAGCTCATTACCTCCCAGCAGATGGACTGTTTCAAATGGCAAGAGAATCAAGATGTAAATGCACCAAGGAAAAGGTTCCGGAATTCTCTAACTGTAATTCTCTAACTGAACTATGCCTTGTGTTTTCCTTGAATATCACAGCAGGAAAAAGATTTAGAAAAGCCTCTTCCACTCTCTGCCTGCGAGAGCAAGGGACAGAACTAAACTCGCCGAATCATTGATGAAAAGTCACAGTTTTCCCCTCACTTCTAATACTTAGTTTGCTCACTCTATTGAACATTGAGCTTCATGTAAGAGGAAGCTTAGAGAGCTAATGTCATCTTTAAGGAAGTAATACGATTTGGGACAAGTTGGTGGCTCTATTGTGATAGTTAATAATAAATAACATTTGTAGAAAATGTGATTCTGCTTCCTTCTGCTCTTGATTAAATAAAATTCAGTAATACTACAAGTGGCTTTTCTAGATCTGAGGGATGCCTATTTTTAAATCAAAATGTTAAAAGAAGGTTTACATTTCTATGAGCTAAATTTGACTGAAGAAATTGAGTGGTTTGTATATAAGAGCCACCATGACATGCAATCCGGGTTACCCCTCACTTCGACAAACAGTCCGGCAGACATTTATCACCACGTTACATATATAAATGAAACATGAAATACAAAGACTTCTAGGTAGATAGACTTGTATGAATGTGAAAATGTACGATAAATTTCAATATTAACTGTACAGTTAACAGCTAAAAGAAAACATTACCTTAAGCTCCAAATTCATACAATGTCTTGAAATATGTAGAAACTACCATTCTATCTTTACAAGAGTATACTGGGGATGAGAATCTTGTGGTGTTGCCTGAATAGCTTTAATATTTCTTTGTTAAATGATAACTAAAATATATGCTTTATTAATTTTTTCTTATAAAAATGAGAACTATCTTTCAAACTGAATAATATGCATATAGTCTACATTCATTCCTCTTTGTCATGCTAGTTTCTTTTATAAACTTATTTTACATGACATTCTGGGTCCTCCCCACCCCCTCCCCTTCCCCACTTCTCTCTAGTTTAAAAAAATGGTATGTTTTCGTGGATGGGAACCTGTTACCACAGTAGGGCGTGGTTGAAATACGTGGAAGCAAGCCCAGTTTCCTTGCTGTTGGTTGCCTGACATATGATGTACTCTGAAGAGCAGTAAGAACAAGAATACCACTCAACAGGGCAAAAGAAAACAAGTGACTAGTGTTAGAAGAGACACTCCAATGGAACATCATGGTTTTCCATTTTGGAAGTCTCTCTGAAATGCCAACTATTGGGATCTTGAGAAATCATTTTCTGCATTTGAGAAAAAAGAATCTTCAGTTAGTAGCCATTTTTAGTGATTTATCTAGATTAGATAAAATGGGTAATTATTCCTTTTCGTACACTTTAGGTACAGCGTTTTTATGCTTGAGGTGTTTCAGTGCCCAGATTATTGCTGTTTCAGATTCATTCCATAGTATGAAACCAGATTAGGCAGCTAGATTTACCATCAGTGAAAGAAACTGTGGTCTGTACAAGTGACACTAAAAGATTTTTCTAGAGATGGCACGTCTCCTTATCTATTTATTTATAGGACTGTGTGAAATTAAGCCTGTTTTCCTCTAGAGGAATTGCTATCCGTCATTCCCAAGGCTGATATCACTGGTTTGCATATGCCTAATTTTAAAAGGAATGATACTTAGACTGTGAAAAATATTACAGCCTATATTTTGGGAAGCTTTTCTAAACTCTGTGTATGATAGTACAAATACACGTGTGTATACCTATATACCTACATAAGTATATGCATGAGTTGAGTATATATACTATCTATGACTATATTATTCAAATATGTAAAGTTTTAAGTTCTAAAATGTCACATACACATCGATGACAGCATGTCAGTATATGCAGAATGAGCTTTGATTTCTCCATAATTTATCAACCAAAATTACAAAAAAGAAAACATTGAAAACAATGTTTTATACCATTATAGGAATTAGTTTACAAAACTAGGGCCATTGCTAGTTCTCCTACCAGAGTTATAAACACATGTCCTCTGATCATCTACATATTTTCTGAAATAAATATATTCTTTCAGAATTAAAGCCAACAGATACAAACAATACTTAAAGAGGACAGTACTAGGCTCCCTACCCTTGCTGCTAACTAACTAAAGGCGAAAACTACAAGTGTCTCAGTCTGCAAATGCATAATAAGTGTATGAAAACAAAAGCCATGAAACCAATTGCTTCAAGAAACAGAATAGAGTATAAACATAACACAAAAACTTGTCATTTAAAAAGGAATAAGGTGTGAATTTCCAAGTGAACTGGTATTCCCATTCAGACAACTCAGCAGTGTGCATGATGGAACAGGTCAGGGCGAGGGGTGATGGGTAAGTTTCCTTCCAATGGCAACAACCTTGAACTGATGCAGTTTGAATACCTGTAGCCTAATGAGGGGTTCGCTCATCTGTGGAAATGCTGGAGACTAAAGATTCACTTCATCCTGGCCCTGGTGATCTGTTCAACAAAGTCACAGACTTTATTCTTTTCATGCTGTTTCAGCCTGCAGACTGAATCTCCCCCTCCCCTGACCTCTCTATACACACACACACACACACACACACACACACACACACACACACAGAAATCCCACACTTCAGTGAATGGAAGGTCTATGTGTGTAAAGAGCATGTGAGCCAGGGGGATTCAAGCCCAGAGAAAGACAGTGTCAAGTGGCCTTGATAAAGAATTCATACACCATGTGTACACAGCTTTTTGGCAGGTGTAATTATCAGCGTCGTCTTTTCCTTTTACTAGGTGCTGGGGATTCTGAAGCACGGATTCAAAGGTGTGATTATCACATGTTTGATCAAGTAGCTTTTCCCCAAGGACCTGGGAAGGGGGGAAAGAGAGTGAAGCAGCATCAGTGATGAGTATTCATTGATCATTGACAATATGCTAAAAATATCAAAAGAGCATGTGCTCTATGAGCACCCCAAAGGTTCTTTGGGGCACTATCATTTATGACAGTCCTCCACACTGGAAAATAAAATTATGTATTAGAAAGGAAGTAATTATCAAAGGAGGCAGGAAAAGCCACAGTTATTCCCCAAAATGAAATAAAGAGCAACCACTTGGAAACATTTCAGATATAGATTTTTTTTCCCCCTTACCATTACCAGATGATTCTACTTTTCTTCCTGAAGGCAAGGTATAAGTAACATGTTTCAAGGCACAGAGTGTGAAGCTTTTGTTGAGACACAAGCGGGCTAAGCTGGCTTGACAGGCCAGAAGCACCAGTATCTCTTCTCTGAAGCAGAAGTTAAGCCTGTGACTGCCTACAAGTCAGCCCTACAGCACACAGAGCAGAGTACGCAGTGCTGAGGTGATCCCCCAGCCCTGACATCCTTCCCCTATTGGAGAGTCATTTCTGTCAGAGACAACAGTAGTTCTCAATCTCTGCATTTAAAATATAATTAGAAGTACTTTAAAGATGCGGATGAATGTCCACAGCCATATACAAAACAGACTGAATTAAAGTGTTTTTTTTTTTCTATTCTGCACCAATGCTCTCTGGCTGCCCTGCTTTTTACAGACATCAGAGAACCCCACAGACTGCAGCATGAACTGGGAACTACACCCGGGGCCACTGTGCTTCTCTTTGAGTCACCTGACACATTCATATTCAAACTCTTGTGCCATATTAACATTGTAACTGCTAACCCACTAATATTACGACTGACCCTGCTGTTACTAGCACTGACAAGTGGTCATTATTGCTGCACATTTTGAAGAGTCTTGTGTATTCCTTGTTTCTTATATCATCGCCATCAGAGATCCTTTTTCTACTGTGTCATAGATTGAATGGCTACCAAGAAACAGGATCTAGAGCCTGAATTTTTATTGGTTAAATTTTCCCAGTCACACATCCCCAGGGAATGGGACGGAGGACAGATGGGACATGCTGAAGGTACTGGAGCTCTTCTGCCATCCTGAGGGAAAGGCAGCCCTCAGGATTTGACGGCAGTTGGACAAGCACGAGGTATCTGAAGAACGAGTCTCTCATGTTCCTTCTGGGAGGAAACGTCTACCACCTGCCCTTGTTTCCTTTACCCTTATGTGTTATAATTCAAAATATTAACAATTCATTTCCTCTTTTTCAGCTAAGTGTGAATTTTGTTTATCAATTTGCCTTTTCAACTCTTTCTTTCTTTTAGACAATAGTGGGGTTTTGAACTCAGGGCCTAGAGCTTGCAAAGCAAGGACCCTGCCACTTGAGACGGGTGTTAGGTGTTTCTTTCTTTCTTTTTGTTTTCCTGAGAGGATATCCAATTCCTGGTATTAAGGACTTGTGAAGCTACTAGATTTTGTGTCAAAGGGAAGTTCCGTTAGAAGATGGAATGATGGTTGCTCATCTGCTGATTTTAAAATAGATTCTCTAGGATACCCAGTTGGACCCACTGTTATAAAAAAGTGAAAGAAGAAATCTGGAAGCAGTGCTTGAGGGAAAATTGTGGCATTATCTATGTTACAAAAGAAGAAAGATTTAAATTTAATCACCTAAATTTCTACCTGTATAACTAATTAAATCCAAGGTAAGCATAAGAAAAGCAGTACTAAGAATTAGTGAAATATAAACCAATGAAATATAAAGGGAAATTAATCCAGGCACTGGTGACACACTCCTGCAATCTTAGCTACTCAAGAGGCTGAGATGAGGGCTGTGGTTCAAAGCCAGCCATGACAGGAAAGTCCATGAGATATCCCATCTCCAATAAACTACAAAAAGCCAGAAGTGGAGCTGTGGGTCAAATGGTAGAGAGCTAGCCTTGAGCATAAAAGCTAAAGGACAGTGCCCAGGCCCAGAATTCAAGTCCAAGGACAGGCAAAACAACCAAACCAAAACTAAAACCAAAACAACAACCAAAAAAAAAAAAAGGAAAGAAAGATCAAAGAAATTAAAAACTTAAAAAAACCAAGCTGATCCTTTGTAAAGATCAATGAAATCAATAAACTTCTATTTTAGCCAGGATAACTAAGGAGAAAAAAAAAGTGAGAGTCTTTTAATTCCAAATATCAGAAATGGAATAGGGGCATCATTTAGATTCCCAGGACATTGAAATGACAATAACAGAACAGAACAGTATGAGGCCCTGTCCGGTGATACGAACCTGTAATTCCACCCATTGGGATGTGGATGCATGAGAATTCAGAGCTCTAGGGCAGCTTGGTCTACATAATGAGATCCTGTTTCCCCAAAAGTCCAAGCCAAAACCCCATTAACAGCCTAGAAATACTGTAAACAACTCTATGTCCAATACTTTAACAAGTGAGATGAAATGGACCAATTCTTTTTAAAGACATGGCCTGAGAAAACTCATACAAGAACAACTGTCCAATGTGAATAGTTCTAGCCTTCAATGTCCTTAAGGACCACTTATAATCTGGTTATTAGATACCTACACAATGAAACTACTTGTTTAAAATCTAGATCTAAGTTTATTAGTTCAATACAGGTTCTTTAATTTTAAGAATGGAGTGTGTTTGTGTGTGTGTGTGAAGGACACAGGATGACCCATTGCAACAATGCTACCAACAAATACAGGATGTTAGAAATGAACTTTACAACTTCGGGTGGGGGAGGAGTGAGGGAGGTGGGGGAGGGAAGGGATACTGGGAGACAACCAGGGAGGGGGTAACAGTGTTCAACAAGAAATGTACTCATTGCCTTACTCATGTAACTGTAACCTCTCTGTACAGCGTCTTTACATTTTTTAAAAAGAAAATAAAGCAAAATGAAGCTGGGCACAGGTGACTTATGCCTGTAATCCTAGCTAATCAGGAAGCTGAGATCTGAGGATCGTGGTTCAAGCCAGCCTGGGCAAGAAACTCCATAAGACTCTTATCTCTAATAAACCACTCAGAAAACCAGAAGTGGCACTGTGACTCAAGTGGTAGAGTGCTCACCTTGAGCTGAAGAGCTAAGGGACAGCACCTTGGCCCAGAGTTCAAGCCCCAAGACTGAGAAAATAGAAAGAAAGAAAGAAAGAAAGAAAGAAAGAAAGAAAGAAAGAAAGAAAGAAAGAAAGAAAGAAAGAAAGAAAGAAAGAAAGAAAGAAAGAAAAAAAGAAAGAAAGAAAGAAAGATTAAGCCAATTCAAGCAGAAGAATGCTGCTTTAGTCCAGACCCCAAACTCCAATAATCTCTCTCTCTTTCCCTCTATCCCACATAGACATATATTAACACACACATATAAAAACAGAAACTCATACAGCTATAACGATGCAGGTTTTCCAAGCATGCATATTTTGGAAGTGAGGGTGACTTGAATGCCTAAAAAAGATTCTCTGAAGCCTAAGTTTCTGGGTTTGAATCCAGGCCTTAATCACTTGCTAGCTGTTGGCTGTTACATACAATTTTAAAACTCTTCTATGTCTCTGTGTCCTATTTTAAAACAAGACTAACAATAGTAACTAGTCTTCCTGGGGCTATGGCCAAGATTAAGTAATGTAATATGTGTGAAACACTTACAAGAATGTATTGGCATACATAAGTAGTTTCATAAATGTTAGCAAGCAGTACAATTGTTTCTGATTCACTTTTCTGCTCCACAAACTAGAACTTCCTTGGGTTTCATTGAATTTGAGGTGTCTTTTAGCACATGGATCAACCAGTGACTGGGCAGGTAACTGAGGTAAGGATTCTCTGGGTCCAGTCATCAGCACCACCTATTAAAGTTATGATAATAGAAGGCAGGGAATGAGTCCAGCAGGGAACAAAGTAAAGTAAAGAAAGGTCTGCAGAGTTGGAGGAAACGGAGCCCAGGAGAACACAGACAGGGGCAGGCTGCTTTAGAAATCCCCAAACAGTGAGGCTGGCTTTGAAGGTAATGAGTTCTCTCTCCAGCAGTGGAAAGCAAGAACTGTAGTTTGCTTTTGATTTCCTTAGAATGTTGATATCTCAAGAAGCATTCTTCCTTCTTATTTTTATATTCCTTGGCAATCTTGTGAAATATGAATCTATCCTTGGAAGCCACATTTTTTAAAAATGTGGTATAACATGAGCAAACTATATTCAATTTTCTCTATTTATGTTTTTATCACGTAATTGTATAGTAATTGCCCAAGATTTACATTTTTTACATGTTAGGAGAAGCAGTTTGTTTTTTTCAATGTGCAAATTTAGAATCCAGAGAAAATGTCATCAATTTTTTATTTCAAGAAAATTTAGAATGGAAAGTAGGCATAGTAGACAAAATTCTTCATGTATTTACATGCATCCAACTTTATAAATATATACTTTTTCCTTTCTTTTTCTTTTCTTTTGGTGATGCTTCTTAAGCTGTGATTTAGCTCTTCATGCTTTTAGTTACTTTTCAGATAGGGTCTCATATTTTTCACTCTGGCTATCTCGAATTGATATTCTCCTCTATACTTCTTTTTCTTAGCTGGGAACATAGGTCTGAGCTGCTATTCCTGGCTTGTTCTTTGAGTTAGTCTTAGTAACATTTTTGCCCCCCCACCCCCAGTCATAAGCCTCCCATGTATCTAGGAGATCCTAAGTCAGTCTTCCTTTCTTTTTATGTTTATCCACCAATTGTAATGATCAGTTACTTCACTTTCAGATAATGATATTATTTTTGATTTGGAGAATATTATGATGAAATAATATTTCATCTGATAATCAGTGAGACAGCATCTGATAAGTAATTTTTATCTAGACTTTGCTTGACTGACTAAACTTAAAAAAAATCTGACTGGGTGTGATACATGACACCTATAATCTTGGCATACATGAAGCTAAGGTAGAAAAATTTTGAGTTCAAAGCTAGTCTTGGCTACTAAGAAAGCCCTTGATTGAAAATATATGCATGTGTATGTACGCGCGCGTGCGTGCACACACACACACACACACCAGTTAAAAAGAAAAATCAATGTTCTGTTCCAAGTGAAACGGGCCAAATACATTTCAAAGTTTTCCTTGTAAACAACTGTAGTTTGAGCTAGTAAGTGTAACAAATTCTACTTGAGCCTTAAAAATTGAATTAATTAAAAATGAAGGAAGAACTAATGAAGGTCTGTTTGATTGAATTCACCATAAAATCCATGGGTGACTTGACACGCTTGTGTCATATTTGTACTTGAAATAACCACTACATTTTCATCCCAAGGGACCATGACTTTGGGCATTGCAAGGGGCCATTTTGACAAAAGTAAATACAAATTTTATGTTCATATTAGTAGAATTCTCTCCCATCCCTTGCAAAAGACAAAATGCAAAACAAAATACAGTGTGCCTCATGCTGACGTTTCAGAAACAATAGAAATGCAGTCAGAGGTGCATTCATGCAGTCAGATGGAATAAAGAAATGGAGTTGAGCACATGACCCTGCATATAGTGAAGACCAGGCTGGCTATTTCTGAATATTACTCAATAAACAAACTATTGAAAGTTTTTGGTAGGATCCCAGAAGTCTGAATGGAAACAGATATGTCAAAGCATCTTTTAAACAATTTTACCCGGGGCCAATATTGCATATCCTTTAGGAAAATTGATGTAAGACTGTACTGCCTAGGATGGAAAAAGCAATAGCATTAGGAGCTAGCATGTTGGTGATGTTCAATTTAAGAGTAGTGGATTATCATGGCTACCAAAAAAGAATCTTTAAAAGGATTCTAAAAGTCTAAATGGGAAACAGAGGAGAAGGCTCTGGGCAAAATGTCTTGTCAACTTCTGTTTATTACATTTCATCTCTGCCATGTTCTAGCCCAAGCTACCCTTTCCCTTGGTCTACACAACCACATATTAACCTTCAGATTAGTTCTCCAACAACCATAGGCCAATCTCTTCCATAGAAGATAGAATAATCTTTATGGTATACATATCAAACCATGCCATTCCTTTGCTTAAACCTTCAGTGGCTTGCACTGTAGTAACATCTAATTTCCTTTATGGCTGCACAAAGCTCTAGGTAACCTGGCCCTTATCTTGCTTATTGGACTACTGCCCTTCCTTCCTTACTCCTCCCTCCCCATCTGGGGTTGCTCTTTTATCCTCCAACATCACATCACTTTGGTACTACTGTACCAGCTACTTCCTTTTTCCCTTGCTTCCTGTGTCTTCTATTTGTCCTTTAGTTCCTTTGAGATTTTTCCAGACAACTCAGTCTAAAGACTCACCACTCAGCCAGGCTCTACTCAAACATGCCTCAGTTAATCTAGTGAAGTGCTGATCATAATAGAATAGTTTTTATCTACTTATTTATTCATGGTCTCCCCTAAGTAGAAAGTAATCACTAAGGAGAGCAAAAACTTAATCTGAAGCTCACAGAATAGTACCTGTTCTGTTGCAAATAAATCTCTATTGTTGAACAAATACACTTTGGGAAATGGAATGTATTTTAGATTAAGACAAAACATATCCTACATATACAATAAAACCATAAGGCTACAAAAGAGGCTATAAGAGATTATGAGATTTCTAAAAGTATCAAAGAGAAAATCCCATTCAGCTTCTTCTGCATATCAAAACAAATGGAGAGCTGCAGATTATTTCCAAGTATTTCAGATTGCACAATGAGTAAACAGGATGGTTTCAAACCATTATTTTTTATTATGATCTCTTTAAGAATATTTGAACTGCCTTTCAAACACACATTTGTAGACACCACAGTGTAATGCTACCTAATGACTTAATCCATCTTGCCTAAAGACTAGCAAGGGAAATTTAGATAACTTCAGATCAACCGATACTGGTGATGAAATGCCTGGCAGAGAAGGAAGAAGAAAAGGAATCCCATGCTACTTTGCAAGTGCCACTTCCAGTGGGGAATCCACTGAAGTTTGTGCAGTTCAGTGTCCATCCAGAAAAGCTAGGTGTTTTTGACATTTGCCTTGCAATGTTTTTCAGGGATGAGGGAGCATACGTGATGTATGTCTATCATATGTAAACATTTCTGATATTGTGACCCTGATTATTCATGTACTTCTATTTCTTAAAAAAGCACAGGGAAAAAAAAATCTTGAATTAGCATTCTTGGTCATCCAATGGAATTTAGGAGATTCAGATGTGTTTTGAAAAATCACTCATGTAACCTCAAAAATCTCTCAGATTATAGGTACTATAGGGTTGCTATTTCATCCTAAGAAGTAGGCCCATTTTCCAATAAGTTGTAGCTCAAGATTCTAAAGGGGGTCTTTCTAAGGCCAGCATTATGAGCAAGGGAATGAATGGGGACTGGAATCCACTGGGCCTTTTCTTGAAGAGATCTGGGTGAGCACAGAGGCTGCATTTTCTTAATTTGTACAGAGGCATCCTAGAGTCTGGATTTCTCTATTCCAAAGTATATTATTTTCCAACAAATGTCTTATGTTTGAATGACAAAAAAGTAACTATTCCATTTACATTTCTTGAGAGCAATGGCTTCTGTTTGGTTGCTTTCATTTGGCCTCTCAGGAGTAGTGATACTGTTTCAGTGGTCCAAGAAACTGCATCTAGAGAAGAAGAACAATCTTGCATCTATACCAGCGGGATCCTTTATACAGAACAAGTCCCTCCCCTCCTCACCTATGACATGTGGTTTTGCTGTGTTTGTTGCTGCTGCTGTTGCTGTTGCTGCTGAATGAGCAATTGCTGTTGCTGCCGACGACGAGCTGTCCGGAGCTTTTCAAAGCGAGCCTCCATTTCCTCTAGGACTTTTGGGGTGTATCTCACCACCAGCTTGACGCTGTCCTTAGCAGCTTTGAGTAGTTCCACTGCTTTCTCATGGTGTTCCCCTTCCACGCTCTGAAAAGACAAGGTCCTTTCCTTTAGGGAAGAGCTTAAAAGTTTATCCCTGACGAGCTAAACTGTGATCAGTATCCTGTTAAAAAACCCAAAATTTGAATGTGGCCAATGGAATATAGCCATCTTTGTTGTTACTTAGTGTGTTGGTAGCTGAACCATACATAACCCAGTAAGGCTACATGAGGATAGCGTACAAGGTGGAATGAGAAATAAGGAAGAGCTGAATGATTTAGAAAGTTACTGCAGTAGCCAAAATAATTAAAGCAAGTTATAAAAAGAGTCTTTTACTATCAGATATTAAAACTCATGAGACAGGCTGGGAAGGTGGCTCAGTGGTAGAGTGCTTGCCTTGCATGCATGAGGCCCTGGGTTCACACCACATATGCAGGAAAAGCTGTAAGTGGCACTGTGGCTCAAGTGGTAGAGCACTAGCCTTGAGCTGAAGAGCTGAGGGACAGCGCCCAGGCCCAGAGTTCAGGCCCCACAACCGAAAACAAAACAAAACAAAACAAAGAACAAACAAAAGCACAACTCATGAGACTGTAAATAATTAAAGTCACTGTTATTAGTATAACCCAAGATAAGGATTCAAATGTTTTTTCTTTCTTGCAATTGTTTCTAACATATTTATGATTTCTTTGTTGCTCTGTATATCCCTCCCCCACTGCATAAACCCTGCTCTCACTGTATTTGATGTTGGTTTAATTTGTAGAGGGGAAGGGAAAAAAACAAATTGTTTAAATAGGGGTACAGGTGGACCCATTGCAACAATGTGATGTACAAGACATTATGTCAAAAAACGAACTTTACAACTTTGGTGGGGTGGGAAAGGGCGGGAGGGAATGAGGGGAGATGGGAAGGGATGGGAAGAGGAAACAAAGGAAGAGGCAACAATGCTTAATAAGAAATGTACTCATTACCTTGCCCATGTAGTTGTAACTCCTCTGTAAGGTATTTTCACAATATAAATAAATAAATAAGTAAATAAGTAAAAAGTTAAAAAAAAAAGAAAAAAAGCCATATGTAGCACAGTGCACAAGGAGATCCATTGTATTAAAAAGATTATCATATAGTAACTGTAACATTTAGGCCAAAGGAGTAGTTTGTTAAATAATGGTGCTGGAACTAATATCAACTATAATAATAAAAAAGGAATAGTTATCTCAATTCTAAATAAAATGCATTGATAAAAATTTAATACCTAAAGCAGAAAACTGCTAAAAAAATCATCATCATCTTGAAATGAAAAGAAAACTTAAATAAAATACCAAGAAGAGGGAATCACAAAATTAGATTTACAAATTTTAAAGTTTCTAAATCTCAAACATTATAAAAGGTCTAACAAGAACAAAAGACTAGAAAAAACAAACTTGCAATGTACTTGTCAATGTATATGTTTTTTAAAATAGGAAAAGCTCATTAATGAATACTGAAGCAAAATGACATTGTGGACAAGTTTAAAAACACAAATAAAACACAAAATACAGAAAATACACAATACAATATAAACCCATAAGAAGACAGATGTTCAATTTTCCTATGATCAAAGAAATATCAATCAACACGAAATACCCCATTTTGTGCTAAAACAGTAACTATATATTTTTATTTATGGTCGATAGACAGGGATGCACAGCCATGTGACCCATCTGGTTGCTAATCATGTAATTAAACTGGCACTGTTTTTCTAGAAAACACTCTTGTGCATTGAGTAAGCCCTTTATAATGCATACTTTCAATAAGGATAAATTTAATAAGAACAGCATTGGATAGGCATATCAGAGAAATAGGATAAGGGAGGTGAGGCAGGCAGTTGGACAGGGAACAACTGAACAGATGGAGCAGAAGAACAGGTCCGGAATCACATCTGGGTACGCTCTGCCAAACTCTCAGCTTCACAAACAACCCTGTTCTGCTGGTTGACCTACTTCTTGGTACACTGGCTAATGGTCCCCAGCGGGAACTTCCCAAATCTAAAGGTTATCTGGAGGACTCATCTATACATGATCATAGTTCACTTTAACGCACATATTCCATCCTTCCTCAAGTCACCATCCATATTGATTCTGAGAGTGCCGGATCAGGTAAGCCCTCTTCTCATTTTCTGGCTCCTGAAAGGTCCTCAAATGCTTGAAGGAAACTCCACAATTTTGTACATAGAATCAATGCATTGAACTTCCTACTGCCTAGCCCACGACAGTGCCATGGAGCTGAGAGCCTAGGGAAGAAGCTTCTTGGTCGGGTTGCCTGTACTCATCTTACCCTGAGATATACCACATTTGCTTCAATAGACTTGTTTGTTAAAACTCCAAGAGAGCCTGTACCCCAGTATCAGAGACATACATAGTGATATATATGCACATACATACCGGAGAAGTAAGTTAAGGATAACAGAAAGCACAATAAATGAGTCATCAGTTCTTGGTTTGGGAGTGTTTAAATAGTTTTTGTGTTGTTTTGTTCTGTTGCTGGTCCTGAGGCTTGAACGCATGGCCTGAGTGCTGTCCCTGAACCTCTTTGTGCTCAAGGCTAGTGTTCTACCATTTGAGCCACAGTGCCATGTCTACGTTTTTCTGAGTAGTTCATTGGAGATAAGAGTCTCATGGACTTTCCTGCCTGATTCTCAGAACTGTCTCCTGAGTAGCTAGGATTACAGGTATGAGCCTCTGGCCCCCCAATTTAAAATAGTTGTTGAACATTCCAAGATAGACAATAGTTGGGTAAACTGTGTTTACCCGAAATAAACACAAAGGTACTTCATCTCCAACCCTTGAAAGATTTTTTGGATTGGAATGAGGGAGAAGCAAAGCAGAAGGAAATTATAATCAGGTCATCTAAAAGTGGCAGTGGGTGATAGATGACCAGAGAGGCCACTTGCAAATGGATGCAATTATATTTACATACCTCATGCAGAAGAGGTAGGTACTCTAGGTAGACCTTGAACTGAGCTACTTGAGATCCATAATTACTACTGATAGGCAGACTAGGAAATTTAGTGGACTGTGTACATGTGTATCATTTAAACAAAGGGTGGGTGTGAGTGGAGGAAAAAAGAGCAATGTGGTTGTCATGGCTAACTTACAAGAGCACTGTTTGTCATTTAGTTACTGAGCAAATATTAAGGGTTTAAGAAATGGCCATATTGAGCCCCAGAGGCAACTTACATAACCACTTCTCTGGTTTTAAATAGAAAGCAGAGGTTATAAATATCATGTTCGGTAGAAGAAATTTTTAGCTGTGGTTGGAGCCTATGAAAATAGGCTCCTTGTTCACTGATGGAATTCATTTTTTTTAATTATTCACTCAATCATTGACATAGCCACTTGATAGACTTTCATTAAGCATTTATGCTACTGGTTATATTCTACTACATTCTTTGGAAGAACATGAAATACAGAGGGAAACCTCTGACAATATTATGCAGCCTGAGACTTGTTTTTAGTGTGCTTATCATTTCCTTGTGGTTTGAACAAGGTGATTTGTTACTGTAGGGAACATTCCTTTTCAAGGAAAGCTTGGTGACTTGGTTGTCTACATCCTTCTCTAATTTCTGTTGTTATTTTTCATTTTTTCTAGGTCAGTTGATTAGTCTCCAGTCCTTGTTTTGTTTCTTGGCTTTTGTGTAGTAGGGTTGGAGATTCTAGGCCAGATGCTGACAGTGTCATTATCTTCTTTCAGGTACTCTTTTATTTGGGCTGCTAGGGGAGGCGAGGGCACAAAGGCTGGGACCTTCAAGCTCCCAGGGAAGAGTTAAACAGAGAAATACGGATGACATGTCCCTTGCTCAGCCCTGGAGAGCTATTAAGGGCATCTTCAAATCCCCCCAGCTCCCAGGTCTGCTCCCTTCCACACTAATTTATAAAGTGCAGACTCCTTGTACTCCAAACTAGGATTTTTGCCTAATGCTTTAACTGGTTCATATGAAGACTGGTTTCTCTCCTTGGGCTTACTAGAGACAATGGGTCTCTTGGTTTGATTCTTTCTGTGATAACCATTTTGTTAGAATTGGACTGTATCCAATTTCATTTCTATGGTTGAAAATACTTCATTAAAATAATTCCGATTAATGGAAATTAGGAGGGGAATTTTAGAGAAACTTGAAGGACTATATGCATGCTTGTAGAATTTATCCCAGATGCTCTGTAACTATTTTGTGTTTCTACAAAACAATCTTGCTTTATGGATTGCTCTGGATCTTCCACTGGCTTTGTCTATTTTATGCCTTGGGAGTGTGATGAGCCATATGCTCATCTTCTTAACCTATCATTTATTTATTTCTAGAGCACTTTCATTCTTTCAGAACATTTTAAATAAGAATGAAGTTGTTTTTATTTTTTTCCTCCAGCTTTCTTTCCTTTTATGGTAAGAACAAGAAAACGGATCACTTTCCCAGAGAAGCCTTGGAGAATTAATAAAATGAGGCCAATAGATCTGCTCCATAGGGAGTATGGACACTTTTTTACCATGGAATTCATTTTTTGTTTAACATGCCCAGTCAAGAAGTGGAGACCTTTCCCTCACAACCACATCTTTTATCTTCGTCTTCTACTCAGACAATCTGTGTTGCTTTCTTAAGTCCCCTCAGGTGATTCAGGGAAAGTCAGGGCATTTTTCAGGTAAAGTAATCTTATTTTGTTCTTCCTAATTTCTCTTTTTAATCCACCAGAATGCCCTTTTCCTTGTGATCACATGCCTAGTTGCTCATTGCCAGCAAGTATTTATCTTTTTCTTTCAATTAATTTGCCTTCTTGTTCCTATACAGGTGATGTACATAGGGATCACAATTACATGAGTCACATAATGAGTACATTTCCTTTCATACAGTGCCTTCTGTTCCCTCACGCTCTCCCAGTTCCTCCCAGGAATTCTTAAGCTCTGTAGTTTAGTATCTATTCTCACTTTTGATTTCATCTGCTTCTTACTCTGATTGAAAAATGTACTTTGTATTTGTCAAACTGTTTAAAATCTACTTGGAAATATGATAGGATTATTTATAAATA